CTACACTAAAGGCGGCCCTCACCCCATTCCCCTGACACAGGCCTGGATTTCAGTGCCTCCTCTCACACCCACCATGCTCGCCTGGTTCCCATACCCTGCCCAACCCACTCGGACCTGTTCACCCACCCTGGGGGGAGAATGGTTCAAGAACAAGCATGTCTTCAGATAGTGAGCAGGTCCAGACAGAGCAGGGGAGGTGCCCAAGGTCACGCAGTGAGTGAGCGCTAGAATCAGAAACAGAACCCAGTTCTCCCAGCTCCCCCGACCCTGTCCTGCTCTCCTTCCCTGCTCTGTGACATTATTTAACGAATTATCAGGTAGGCCTGTGTTCAAGTCCCAGATCTGCCACAAAACTAGGTGGGCAAACATCAGCTCACTAAGATTCAGTGTCTTCATCTGTAAATGGGGGTGACAATGGCATTTGCACAGAGAAGCAGCAAGCCCAAGACGCAGCCCCACATCTGGGCGCGGGTCATGCAGCAGAGCCTTCTCCCTCAAATGTGGTTCCTAGTCCCATGGACCGGAAACCCAGGGGTGCAAGGCTTCTGCCTGGCACAGCAGTGGTCTGTGGACCCAGACACTGCCCCAGCCCCAGAAGTTTTGGAACCCCAGCTACAGAGCTGGGGATAGCCCCAGGGCCGTCTCTGAGGGCTGCTTCGACAATTGCAGATTGGAGTGGCAGCGAGACTCTCGGCAGCGGCATTCTGCCCAGCAAGTGCGTTCACTTGAGCCCTCTCCATGCTCGGCTCCACACAGTATGCGGGATTCAGCCTCCTCCACCCCAGCTCCGGGTTCATGTACACCCTCTCAGCAGCCTCCTCCCTGGTCTGCCTCCCACCTGTCCCCCATTCTGCGGCCAGAGGGCTCTCCTAAAACACTCTGACCTCCATGGCTCCCCTTTACCCTTGGGATAAAGGACAGTCTCTTAATTTGACCTTCAAAAACCCTCATGGTCTGGCCCTTGCCAGTTTTCCCTTCAGCCTCCACCTATCTCCTGATTTCTCAAAAGCACTGAGCCCACATCAGGGGCCCTAAGGTCCTTCTATGGTGGAATTCACCAGGCTGATTTATCATGAATCTGGTACCCGCCCCAGACCCAGACTCCTCAGTTAAGACCTGATTTATTCTCCTTGATGAGAGTATCTACTTCATCCTGACAGTCTGCCAGTGCTTTTAAACATCTGTGGATCTCGTGGTTGGGCTGGGTAGTTAGGTGGCTGGGCGGGAGGTGAGCCAAGGAAGGGCCAGTGGATGAGTGAGAAGGACTGAGAGCAATCCATTTGTCCTCCCAAGGATGTACTTAGGCACACAGCAGCTGACCCCTGACTTCCCTTTGTACTACTCAAGTAGCAACTAAGCTTCCTTTCTTTGCTGCCCTTGGGGAAATGGGGACACAAGATAGAGAGGACACAGGCCCCTGCGAGGGCTCTCAGTCCACATGGAACCAGAGGAGTTAAGAGTACAGGCTTGGAAATTGCGAAGAACAAGCTAGATCTAAGTTCTGGCTCCGCCACTTTAACTCTATGCCTCGGCTTCCCCATCTGTAAAATGGGGGAAAGCCAATATCTACTTCTCATACTGCTGTGAGGATTAAACGAGATGGTCGTGCATGTAAAGGGTTTCTAGCCTGACTGGCGCATGGTAAATGTTCCGTCAGCAAGTGAGAGCTCCCTTAGTATTATCGTTGCTCCTCTTCAGAGACATCCCCAGGGCCCCTCCCCCACAATCCCAACATCATCTCTAGAACAGGTGCAGCGATAGAAGACACACGAAACAGGGTCTCTGCCCCTCCCCATCCCTGGATGGTTTGCGTCTCCTCCCTACCTGCCTGCTATTGTCCATCGCCCATCTCTTCCTGAGACACATGGGCTCCCTTCTCTGGGATCCTGGTGTCTTCTCAGCAATATGCCACTGTTGATATCCCTTCAGCCTGAGTGAGCTGTAGGTCATGGCCAGTTTTGACTACATATAAAGTGGCCTAGAAGAGGGAAAGCGTCATTTAAGGGATAGAAACATTTACTTTAGCAACATCCAAAAAACATTTTACTCTAGCAAGATCCATCACACAGTGTCTAGAAGTCACAGAATAGCATCTTGGCTAAGAGCATAGTGCTTCAACTGCCCACTAATCCGGTCCCTCTCTGTGCGCTGTGTGACCTTGGGCAAGTTACCTAACCTCTCTGAAGCTCAGTTTCCCAACCTGTTAATTGGGGATCCCGATATAGGCCATCATGAGGATTAAATAAGATAATATAGTGTGTGAGAAGTACCAAGCACTGTGCGGGACACACAGCAAGTATTCAGGAGATGATAGCTACTCACGCTGGCTTCTCAGGGAAGAGCTGGGATTTTGAAGTACAATTCCCCCTTGATCATGGGCATCTTTGTAGAAAAGGGAAGAAAGTCCAGGCTAGAGGCAAAGCTTGGTTCATTCATCCCCTGTCTTTGCTGCAGCTGGTACAGGGGGAGAGGGAGGCAGAGGGGTAGGAAGGGGGGCTGCCGTCATGTTATTTCTCTGCAGTCATATTTGTCTTGCTGATAAAAAGGAGCCTGCGTTTGGAAATTGAAAGTTTCTCTCATAACTTAAAGCAGCACCTATGTCTGCTGGTCATGGTGACTGGGAGATTAATCTCCCAACCGGCTGGCTCTACCTGTAGGCATGGGTGATGCCATCTCTGCACCTGGCTGGCAGTGAGCCTGGCACTGCCAGGAGGGCAAGGCTCTCATCTGCTGCTGAGACAGGTGAAGGGAGGGGTGTCTTCATGGTAACTCCAGGGGGCTGGCACCTCAGCAGCATGTTCTACATGCTGAGCAGGGCAGGCAAGCACACACATGTCCAACCCTAAGTTTTCATGGCCAGCTCTCTGGTAGCACTTGTGCCTTGGATCGTGGAGTGGCCAGTGTGTCCCAAGCCACTGTTGCAGCCGGGACACACTCAGAAGGACAGTCCAGAATCCTGACAGTAGTGTGGATCCCATACTCTCCTCCCCTCTCCCAGGAGGGCTGATGTCCCTGACACTCCTAACTCCTGTCCTTGGCTTCCAAGACAAGAGGCCACATGGTAGAGAGGAAATGATGACATTGGTTGAACAGCCAGCTTCCCTGTGACTTATTAGAGAGAATACAGTAGCAGAGTGACCACTGGCTCAGCTCTTGTCCAAGCCAAAGCCCTGGCTCAGGAATGGTAGCATGGAGGACTGTGGTCGCACCACAAGTGGTGGCCAAAAGCTCCATTTCATGACCAGGTATAATCACTGTGTGGAGTGCTATGTTGAAAAGAATACTGACTGAGGCTCTCTCCTGGGCTGAACGGGAAAGAGGACCCCTGTCAATTCATAACGTCTGCCACTGGCATAGACTTAGGAAATGGTGGCAGGTATCCCATACGTTTGCCAGCCAACATCTAGGTATCTCCTAAGTTGAGGCCAGACTGGACAGTTTAAGCTGATCTCTTTTGCCTGGGATAAAGAGATGGAGGACAGCCTCACTTTGCCACCTTTCATCTATGGGTCTTGAAGGAAAATGGAAAACTGTAGCTTACAGTAGCTGACAGCCAAGGGAATAAAAATGAGAAGCTGGCGCTTCATCAAAAACTCAAGCAGTTACAACCTGTCAAGAAGCAGGGAAGAAACCAAATTCTATACTTTATTGAAAATGGAGTATTAAAGTCTCCAAGAATTATTGTATTTTCTCTTTTTCTCTTCAATTTGTCAGCCTACACTTCATGTATATTTGGGAGTCTGTTCTTAGGTGTAATCTATGTTTATAATTGTTATAACTTCCTGATGGATTGACCCTTTTATCATTATAAAATGTCTCTCTTATCTCTTCTGACATCTTTTGTTCTAAACTCTATTTTTTCTAGTATTAGTATAGCCATTCCAGCTTTCTTACGGTTGCTATTTGCATGGTATATCTTTTTCCATGCTTTTACTTTCAATCTGTTTGAGTCTTTGGTTCCCAAGTGAGGCTCCTGTTGACAGTATATAGTTGAATCTCATTTTTTATCCATTCTGGCAATCTCTGCCTTTTGATACTGGATTGGCCAATTAATTCACATTTAATGTTATTGATATATTAAGATTTACATTTGCCATTTTACTTTTCGTCTTCTATATGTCTCTTGTCTTTTTTGTTCCTCTATTTCTATTTTTTTTTTTTTTGCTTTAAATGATTATTTTCTACTGTAATATTCAATTCCTTTAATGATTTTTCACTATACTTGTTTGAGTTATTTCCTTAGTGGTTGCTCTAGGGCCTATGATATACATACAAATATATCACAATCTACTTCATATTTATACTAAGTTAATTCCACTGAGAATTATGTTACTCCAGTTATTCCTCTAGGACTCTATTCTGTCTTCCCCCTTTTTACGCTGTTATTGTTAAACATTGGAGAACTTCTTTTCCAGTTCCTCATGATTTAGTGGAGAGATCTCGGCCCAGAGAGTGCTTGGCTTAGCCATATACTAGCTTTATGATTGTGGGTGAGTCACCGAATATCTTTGAACCTATCAGTGTCCTCACCTATAAAATGGGAGAATTGTAGAAACATGGCTTCAAGGAGGAAGTGAGCTCTTAGCACAGAGCCTACACAGAGCAGGGGCTCTAAAAACAATGGTCTATGTTTGGCTCTCAAAGAACCTCAAAAATCCATTTACCCCAGCATTCCTACCTCAGAAAGTCAGGAAGCACGTGCCCAGCTGAAGCCTAGGGGAGCTCCCTCTCCCCAGTGTGTGCCTCTGCAGGGTAGCCACTTACGATGACCTTCAGCAAGTGAAAGCTTGGCCCTCAAGGTAGGAGGACATACTGGCCCAAAGAGCAGAGCCTCTAGGCCAACCCTTCCAAAAGGAGAGCTGGTCACAGCTGAGTGTGTCCAGCCTCTGATTTGTAGATGTCCAGGCCCTCACCTGGGGCAAAAAAAAAAAGCTCTCCATCTATCTAGGCAGGTGGCCATCCAAATTCTGCTTGATTACCACCCAAGACAGAGGCCTCATTTCCATGAAGCAGCTCAGAACATTCCTGCCATTTCTGCACCTGGTTTCAAATTTGAAGCCATTCAGTCAGTACAGGCCTTGTGCACTTTGGTGTGCTGAGTTTGAGAACATACAGACTGATCACATACAAACCCTGGAAACCATGCACGATCATATGCAATAAACGCAAAACAGGAACTTGGACATGGGCTCTGGGAGGACAGACAGGGAGACCTCTACAGAACAAGGCCTGGGAATACTTGCTCCCAACCCTGTGGCTCACTGAGTGTCTGAAGCTGGCTCCCTTTGGCTGTCCAGAGCCTTCCAAAAGGAGAGCTGGTCACAGCTGAGTGTAGCCTCTGATTTGTAGACGTCCAGCCCCTCCCCTGGGGAAAAAAAAAAAAAAAAGCTCTCCATCTATCTAGGCAGGTGGCCATCCAAATTCTGCTTGATTACCACCCAAGACAGAGGCCTCATTTCCATGAAGCAGCTCAGAACACTCCTGCCATTTCTGCACCTGGTTTCAAATTTGAAGCCACTCAATCAGTACAGGCCTTGTGCACTTTGGTGTGCTGAGTTTGAGAACATACAGACTGATCACATACAAACCCTGGAAACCATGCACGATCATATGCAATAAACGCAAAACAGGAACTTGGACATGGGCTCTGGGAGGACAGACAGGGGGACCTCTACAGAACAAGGCCTGGGAATACTTGCTCCCAACCCTGTGGCTCACTGAGTGTCTGAAGCTGGCTCCCTTTGGCTGTCCAGAGATTGGTCTAGCAGCCTCAAGAAGGGCTCATGCCCAGGGCAGGGACACTGATGGGTGAACACTGGACTTGGAAGCTTTGGCCTGAGTTCTAGCTTGGCTCAGCTACAGAGAAACTGGGTAACCAGGGACTGGTCACTTACCAGTGAGCCTCAGTCTACACATCTGTAAAAGGGGGAAACCACACCCCTGCCCGCTGAACTGAAGGGAATTAAGTGGCATTCCAAGGCACTCACTACCGAGGGCCTGGCAATCCCTGTGCAAGACAGCAGATCCCTGTGGCTGCTCCCAGCTATCTAACCTTCCTTGGGACCCTAGTCCCCAGAGCCCCGTCATTTTATCCTGTGGGAGCGCAGAAGCTTCCCTTCATAGGGCTCTAAGGTACCTCGCTGTTAGTCCTAGAAAAGGGTCTCACATCTTCCCATGCTTCCGCCACTCCACACCCCTTCCTAGAAGTTCCCTCCCACCTCTGGACCTTTGTCCCGATCTTCCTCTGTTCACAATGCCTCCCAGCTTCACCTCCTTGTGGAAGCCTTCCCTGATCTGATCCGATCCCCCCGCCACCACAAGTCTGGGTCAGCTGGTGTGCACAGCCTAGGTCTGCCTGATTTCCCTGGAGTCCCCTGGGTAGGTTTCACCCCTGAGACAGGAGGCCATTGTTAGAGGCCAGTAAAGTTGGTCCTGATACTCCATCTTCCTGTGGATCCTTCACCACTTCTCAAGACCTTGGTAAAGTCACATTGCCCTTTTAACCTCATGGCTTGGTGGAGTAGAGTCCTTGTCTAACACGAAGTCTTGGGTTCACTGATTTGCTGTGTGACCTTGAGCAGGTCCATTGCCCTCTCTGAGTTTCTCTTTTCTTATCCATGAGTTGAGCTCCCAGGCCCGAGGCTTCACAGGAAAGGAGGGGAGGTCAGCTCCCACTACCAGAGGCTAGTGCGGGCAGTGGGGTGAGGCGCTGTTCCCCTCTACAGCCAGGAGAGAGTCCCGGGACCTGACCTCAGACTATCCTCCATTGAGTTAGGGGTGAATAACCCACGTGGCGGCAGGGATGGAGGAGGAAGGGATGTGGCGGGGTCTGTGCCCCAGCTCAGTGTCCTCTCTCTCTCTGTTCCCGGTAGCTCGAAATAACCGTACCAGCACTGACTCCATGTTCCCAGAGAACTTGGAGGATGGCGATGATGCGATATCTCCTATACTGGTAGTGAGCACGGTCATCGGGGTGCTCGTCATCCTCTCCTGCATGACCATCATTGGAGGCAGCATCTGCAAGGCCCAGTTCCGGCAGCGTCGGAACCGCCGCCGCTATGAAGAAGAGGATGAGAACAGCCAAGGTGAGTGCTGCCTGCCCTAGGGCCCTGCCCTCCTGTCCAGTTGTGACTGGACCTTGGATTTGTTTTAAATAATGGACTGAGATATTTCTTAATTTGGGTAAAGGAGGGAATGGGAGATTTAGCCTTTCATGAAGGGGACAGGGGGACTTCCGGAGGCCTGGACCATTTCGGTCTGCACTGACATGGAAGTCAGGGAAGGAAAGGGTAAGAAAGGAATTTGGGGAGTTCAGACGGGAGTCACAGGGTTTCTTTCCAGCTGGTCCTCAGGAGCTCCACCCAGCGGGATGTCGGAGACTGACCTCAGGCTTGGGGTCTAAGCTAGGTGATCACCTCAGAGCAGCCTCAGTTTTCCTAAGGTGCTCAGCCTCTGGGAGACCCAGGAAAAACAGTCCAAGGAGAGAGGTGGGCAAGAGTGTGGGTGGTCCTGCTGGCCCTCAGGCCTCCCACTAGGGCCACCCCATTCAGGCCCAGGAAACGGCCTTAGCTTTCCTGAGTCTAGACATCACCTCCTACGTGGCCAATGGGACCCTCCCCTGGCAACGCTAACAGGGACGGGACCCTTGCCTCGGAGCCCAGTGGCCCTGGTTGCCTTCACCCTGTTGTTTCCTGCTTACCTATTTCCCAAGCTTCTTCTCTAAGTTCTTCCAAAAATTCCCACCCTTCAACTGGTGCCCTAAATGGAAACAAATCTCATTTCAGCTCCTTTTCACAGTATATGTTATTTGGTTCCTTTTTTTCTAGTAGAAAAATAATGTGTTCACAGTACAAAACCTTTAAAATACAGAAAATCTAAAGAAGAAATAAGGTTCATGGTCCCGTCATCCAGACAGAGCCACCGTTTAGAATACTTCCTTCTGACAGCTTTCTTGATGTCCATAGATAACCCTGAGATTATACCTGCAGACAGAGTTTTGTATCCAGATTTTTCTACTCATTGTTGTATTAAGA